GAAATATTCTTTCAGACTTGGAGTTTTCTTCGACGATTATAAATCAAAATTTTCAATGACGAACTTTGCCTTCATACCATAGGATGAGACACAAGATTCCTTGAAAAATAATAGATGTGAAGGTTAGAAAAATCTTTGTTCAGAATCTACGATAAACATCACGTTTCATCAACTACTAACATAGGCATTTACCAAATAAAGGTTGGCAATTTTTAGTAAGATCGTCAATTGGGATAAACATATTTATCCAGCAATCAAGTATCTTTATCCAATAATCTCAACTCTTAAAATTGTTTTTCAGTTCGTCTAGACTCGAGAAAAACGAATTAATATATGTTGTATAAGATAATAAGTTAATGCAAATAATCAAATGAAATACACTGATATTGTTCAAATGATACGATAGATAGAAGAGTATAACTCGGCCAGTCAACCGCAAACAATAACATATCGCTGAGAAAGTGAGATCAGTTGCCAGCTTCAGATCAAGGAGGAAGAGGGAGCAGTGGACAACCCTCGGCTTGGTTCACCTCATCTTCACAATGATCAGATTAACTTTTTTCGTCAATAGGCAAAAATATGTTACAACTGCTCAAAAAAATCGTATGCATTACCATTTCCTTCTCTATAAATTATAAGAATACAAATATTAGAAATCTCAAAAAATTTAGCAACTAATAAGAGGGCTTTGTTTATTTTTATGGTGGTTGACATACTTTCTTGATTTCTTATTTTCAATGTTGGATTTTATTTCTAGAGAGACAATCAAAATGGGGAAAGGGATAGAAACAAATTAAAACTTTGCATTAATGATTAATATGTTTTCATTTAATAGAAATGAATAAGAAGTTTTTTTAAAAATAATAATTATTGCTCTATCAAGTTTATATTCAAACATTTTGCTATATAATTTATACTTGTTTTATTTGATAGGTAGTTACAGAAGAAATGAGTATTTACTCTATGTAGCCACTCTAGACATGAGGATGATGATTAGCTTCCTAATTAGCCGGAAATTTGCTGATTGGTTTTCCACTAACTACTGTTATTATTATGTTAATCAGCATGATTTTCTAGGCTTTAATGCGGTCTGATAATTTGACGTGGGGGGCCATTAGGAGAAAAAAAGCAAGAGGGAAAAAGAAAAGACGGGATCCATACTTGAAGATTATAGGAGATGGAAAACTAAATATGGAAATTAAATAATTGAAGTAACTTAATTATTATACAAATCAGAAGGTTAGTTATGGACTTTGAATATGTGTCAGTTTGCTTGCAAATGTTGACTGAGAGTGTGACTATATCAAGTGAACATAACATTTAGTCAATATTTATTTCTTTTGCTTGACAAACAATACATATATAGCAATACTGCAATACCTAAACCTTAAAGTATTATGCACATTACAATAACAGAATTGGTAAGAAACTAACATTTTTCATCCATACTCTATGCAATGAAACTATTGTTTATCAACATACATACTCTAAATTTAGTTGAAGGATAATCTCATTCACTCAACAAAAAATTAAACATATCTTGTGGTACCTTCCTTGCTAATGCACATGACCACATAAATACGTCACGAAAACTCTAACCCAACTTTCACGATTTGTCTTGTACTGCGGCTATTTCATATTAATCAAGTAACTATGAATGATACATATGGTCAATTTCCACATAAGATAAAATGGTCTAAATAATTGAAATCATCTATAAAAATTGGTATTCAGAAATTGTGTTCTTTTAGACTCACCCATTTGTCCAATCATGCCATTTTATCAAGAGATAGGATTTAACGGTTAACCAAACTAAAACTTTCAAAAATTGGTCACTTACAATTTGCATAACAATATCGTTACTTTAATAGTTTTAAAAATTAATATCAAGTTAAGAATTCTATATCACATCTACACATTCAATACTGCAATTCAATATGCAATATCCGAACAATGATATTTGGATTGCAATTTCAAAATTATCCTCCATTTGTAAGATAGACACAAATTAAATTTATTATTTAACTCAAATTAAAATGATCAAAATATGAAAATTCAAAATTCAAATAAAAAATAAATTACTTACGGGAGAGTTATGGGCTAGCTAACAGTAGAGGAAAAAAGTCATATAATTTTTAGATTTTATATTTAAAAAGATTCAAAACATTTCTTTAGTGTCATTGAGGTAAAATACACGCGTTACCACTTAAGTTTTCTATTTGGTGAAGCAATACCACTTAAGTCTAATTAGTGCACCGAGTACCACTTAAGTGCAATTTAAGTGCATGCATCCAAATTTCCATCCTACACACTAACGGAAGAAATTTAATATTAATTATTTTCCTAATCAGTATGGCCACATAAACTGAGAATGCTGAGTCATCATATTTAATGACACATCACCCTAACTATTACTTTCCACTCTCTAAACCCAAAGCCAGAAAGGCAGAAACCATCAATAGGCCGTACAAATAGAAATATAATCCCTATTAAAAGAACTAGTTTTTTACCCGGCCAGTTGACCGGAGAAGTTCATTTTATGATTTATATTAGTTAACTTATCTACATGTTTGAACTTTTTGGATCTTGTATACATTTTCTCCTCTCGTTTCGTAAGTGAATATGTGGTATGCCTATATCGAATAATATTTAATAGTTAGCACACTCACTTGTGATGTTTTTATTCTCTGATCATAAATCATGTCGTAAAGGTTTATCACGTCCCATTTAGGATCGCATATAATTTTTTTTCCATCAAGATGCTCAAATTTATTATCTTATACAACTTATATCAATTCATGATTCTCGAGTTTGTACGAACTCTCAACCAATTAATCAGAGTTCAAATTATTGGAAAAAGATACTTGATTACTGGATAAATTATGTTTATCCAATTGAAATTTGACACACATCGTATCCCTTATAATTATTAAATCCTCTAAACCTCACTCATTTTTATTGTTGATGTTCATGAAGTCTTTGTATACCAACTTATTATAATTGCTAATATTTTAAGTTTGTACTGTCTCTCAACCTTGCTTTTTGTCTAAATGTTCGTTTAGAATCTGAATCTAAGGATTCATATACACTATCGAAGGTTCTCATCTTAACATGTTCCTTCAATGTATAAATTTTCAACTATTTGAATGTCCATTCGCTAAAATTTCTTTATATTTGGTGTTTGTTCTAGAACAAAAATTTCATTACTTATATTAATAATTGGTAAAGTGTGTATACAACATACAAATATTTCAAGTGCATTCAAAATTATGTATTCCTTGAATAATTAACTTATAATTTTTTAACAAAATATTTTGTAACAAAATTTAAAAGTTCATACAAACATTGTGGCTTTTCACATGTATTTAAATTATTGGATGTATTGTAAACACATCTATTGTTAATATATATATACAAAGAGTTTATTTTATTTTCAACACTAATTAATACCTTTGAACCTAGCTCCTTGGGTGGAATATGATATCAATTTTTTTTTTTGTTATTGCCAAAATTTGGTATGAAATCAGTATAACAAATTTTTGAAAGAACCAAAGTTCAAAATTGGATATAAAAAAATTTAGCATTTCGTCATTAATTCCCATCCAATCGAAATTTTTTTTTTTCATTTGATGGGGTGACTTTTTGGTCTTGGGAATGAATTCAAGGACATATTCGAAGAAATTCTGACCGTAAGTCGGAATCGTTTGTGGAGTTAATGTTTATTTATTACCTCAATCTTTGAATTTTAGATTTTTCTTAGCATGAAATGTGATGTTTAACGTCCATCCTTAACAAAAATTTCTCTAAATTCCACACATTTCACTTTTCAAGTGATCTTGTGTCTCAGTCAAAGTTAATCAACTATTATACTCTAAGTCATTTTGGAAACTTCAATTTATAATCTTTAACAATAAATAACTCCAAGTCTGAAAAGAAAATTTCTTAGAATATGATGTAAGACCTCAATAGAGCTTGCTCAATCAACATGACTTGGAGAAAATATTAGTAATGTGAACTTAGGATACATTATAAATACTGCACATGCGATTCATATGTTTTCACTTGATCAGAATGAATAAGAAGCTTTTTAATAAATAACTATTATTTCTTGGTCAAGTTTCTTTCAGACATTATCGACAAAATATTTTTTTTTTATATGTTTGTTTAAATTATTCATTAAAATGTAAATTATTATTAAGTTTAGTAAAAATGAGCATAAATCTACATAGTAATCTTTAATCATATATTTTTTGGTTTAAAAAGTGTGATGTATATGTCACTCTACGAACATTAGTATACTGTTGCGTACAACGATATAATGCAAAACCAAAATGTGATATATGTCACTCTCCATCATGATTGTCACGTCGGTCGGCATGCCACCGGTTAAACCATTCAACCGGTACCGGTCATGAAATCGACATGACACCATCGGTATGACCGATATGATCGTTTACGAATTTATAAGTAAAATACATAGTTTTAGTGAATTTAAGTATGAGTACATGTAATTTTTTATTTGAAATATCATATTTTATTCAAATATCAATATGAATTGTAGGTAAATTATCTTCAAATATGGTTTATATATGATTAAATTCATTTGATATTAATGATTTTTTATATTTCTACATATTTTATTAACCGACATGAAACGACACAAACCATTTGTACCACTGGTAAAACCATTACACTTGCAAAACCGGTTTGATAACTTTTCTCTCCACATATTATTTATAGCAAGGATTGCGAAACCGTACCGGACGTCATACCGAATTCTTTATTGGTAGGGTATTTTGTGGTACGACCGTGGTTCAACCGTTTCATGCCGGTAAATACCGTTTTTGTAATAGTAAATTATTTTTTTGGTCTAAATATCGTACCGGCCACAATATGGTACCATTCCGGAATAATACCGGAATAATAACAAAAATACCGGATAGAAAATCATAAAATAAAACAGTAACCTCATATAAATAATGGCCAGGCAATGCGTTTTGGGATCATGGAATAAAACGATTACTTTTCACTCCTCATATCTCTCTCTCTCTCTCATTCTAATTCTCTCCTTCTCTCTCTTACTTTCCCCTTTCTCAACTCTGCTTCTCTTCTGTTCTTCTTCCACTCATCCTCTTCTCCTCAAAATAGCGACGAATCCCTTCTTCCCCCTTCTTATTCCACACCTCTTTCTCTCTTTCGCTTTGTCCCTCTTTATATGCAGAAATTCAGGACACAAATCCCTTCTTCCCCCATCTTATTCCAACTCCATCTTATTCAGGACACAAATCTACCTTCTCTCGACTCGCGGCGGCCAATCGACGATTTTCAGATCCGTGAGCGAGGATCTCTACACGAAGCCGAGCTTCCACAACATCCCGGCCGGATTCCGTCCTCACTTCCCAGCTCCGCACGATCCTTTCCGGCAAAGAAGCCACCGGAGACGAATTGGAACAATTCACTAACTACTCCCCTCCTCCTCCTCCTCCGCCACGCCCGCGTCGCAGAAAGGTACCTCGTGCCGCCTCCGGTTCCAATTCGCCGCCCAAGGCGCGCAGAGCGGCGAAGAAAGGGCCGGCGAGCAAGAGCCTGTGTCGCTGGAGTTCGATTTGAACTTTAGAAGTCGACGATTTGAACTTTAGAAGTCGACGGTTGGGTCAGAAACCGGGCGGTATTTCGCGGTATGCCGGTTTGACGGAAAATACCGGCCGGTATGTTAATTTTCCCATTTTCAGTGTGCCGTTCCGAATTTGCTCTCATTTCCGGTTTTCCCGGTAGGACCGGCCGGCACGGCACGGTTTCTTAATCCATGATTTATAGATATAATGCAAAAACGAAAGCAAAATAATTATTGGATAAAAGAGAATTAAATATTAAATGAAGAGAGAGGGTCAACTCCATAAATAGGTCAATAACTATTGTTTTGGTAAAAAAATTGTCCACCTTGGCAACTTGAGATCTCTCCAAGTGCTTATGTGGCAAAATTTTAATTTTGAATTGCCATAATATTTATCTATCTATCTATATCTATATCTATATCTATCTATCTATCTATCTATCTATACTATATATTATGGCAATTCAAAAAAAATTTCTTGCCACATAAGCACTTGGAGGATCCACAATTTGCCAAGTTGGACAACTTTTTTACAAACAAAAAATTAGTTATTAATGTATTTATGGAGCTACCTCTCTCTTCTTTAATATTTCCATTTCTTTTATCCAATTATTCTTTTTCATTTATCCATTTATTCTTTTTTGTCTTTAATAATAAGTTACATGTTGATAAACTTAACCAAACAAACATAAATAATAATTTTTTTAAATAAACAAAATATAAATAAGAAAAAAGAGAGTGACATATATCACATTTATTTAAATAAAAATATCTGATTAAAACTTATGAAATAAATTTTCTACTCATTTTTACTAAATTCAATTATAAGTTACATTTTGATGAAAAAATAAACAAACATACACATAAACAATTATGTTTTAATCGATTAAACCAAAATATATATGAAAAGAGAGAAAATAAACATTTGTCATTCAATTACCTTTGAAAAATAAACTAAATTAGTTTATATTTTGTTGCAATGAAACACTCTCTTATTCGTACAATATATATCTATAAAATAAAACAATATTATTTAGCAAAATGTCAGAGTACAATCTTGATCGAGTAGTTACAGTTATTTATTTAAAAAAAAATTCTTATTCATTCAGATTATGTTCTACCTTAAATTCCTCAAATGAAGAGGAATCGCATGTGCAATAATTTGATAATGTGACCTAAGTTCACATTAATAATATTTGCTCTATATCATGTCGATTGCGCAAGCTCTATTGAGGTTCTAAGTCGTATGCTAAGAAATTTTCTTTCAGACATGGAGTTATCTTCGACGATTATAAATCAAAATTTTCAAAATGACTTAAGTATGATTGTTGACGAACTTTGACTTCATACCATAGGATGAGACACAAGATTCCTTGAAAAATAATAGATGTGAAGGTTAGAAAAATATTTGTTCAGAATCTACGATAAACATCACGTTTCATCAACTACTAACATAGGCATTTACCAAATAAAGGTTGGCAATTTTTAGTAAGATCGTCAATTGGGATAAACATATTTATCCAGCAATCAAGTATCTTTATCCAATAATCTCAACTCTTAAAATTGTTTTTCAGTTCGTCTAGACTCGAGAAAAACGAATTAATATATGTTGTATAAGATAATAAGTTAATGCAAATAATCAAATGAAATACACTGATATTGTTCAAATGATAAGACATTTTAAATGCACTTAAAATATGTGTGTATTGGAGACACTCTTTATCAATTATTAATATATAAGCGATAAAATCTTTGAAAATTACACATTCAACGACCATGTTAAGACCAAAAATCCTCGATAGTGTGTGTGAGTGCCTTAGATTGAGATTCTAAGTCAACATATAAACAATGACCACTGGTTGAGGTTTAGTATAAACTTCAAAAATTAACAATGGATACATATTGTATAATATACTAAATTTAAGTGTCTGGATAAAAAAAAACAAACATCCAAAATGGAAATGAGTCGAGATTAGAGAATTTAGTCATCATGAGGGCTACAGTGTGTGTCAAGTTTCAATATGGATGAATAAATCCAATAATGAAGTATCTTTATTAAGAATTTCTCACTAAAAAGTCGTAATTATTACATCTTTGGTCGAGAGTTCGTCCAAACTCGAGGATCATAAATGTGTATTGGATTTCCAAAGGACCTAAAATCCCAATCTCTTTCGAGGGCTAAATACCTCTGATCACAACCATAGGTGCTAAAGTAGAATGAAAAAGAAGCCAAAAAAAGCAAAAAAGAACATAACCTCTGATAAGATGAACATAATAAAACCATATCGAGCTATGATCCCGTCATCCCTACCTTTTTATATATTATATATCGAACAATAGACAACCCCAATGGTTCTTTGACGTTATGGGGGTAAAAGCGAGATCTCTAGATAATTTTGAGTGTATATATATACATGTATATGTAATATCAATGTATACTATACTTTTTATTTAACTCAAGATACGATAGATAGAAGATAGGTATTACGAAGTATGTGCATAAATTAGAGGTTACAGAATTAGGGACTAGAGTTCACCTATTAGAGGTTAGGGTATAGTATAATGCCCCAAAAAAATCCGGTTAATTCGGGTCTAAATAGTAAAACTCATTGGTAGTATGAACGCAAGAGTATAACGTACTCCTGGCGCACGCTAGCTTGAACTATATATATGTGTGTGTGGTTTAGGTTGGCGTACGCTAAATATTAGTGTTTTGGTTGACAAATTTTGACATAAGTTCTAAATGAGACGTGATAGCGGCATAATTTATGATTCGAAAACCGAAGCATCACAAGTGAGTGTGCTAAATATTGGAAATTTCAATATAAACATACTACAAACTTGGTTACAAAATATTTAGAAGATCCAAAATGATTTAAATATATAAATTATAAAATAAATCTCTCCGGCCAATGGGCCGGGTAAAAGGCTAGTTATATATAGATAGATGAACTTAGAACTCACGTAGTCCAACTCACCAAGACCCTTCGTCTCCTCTCGCCTGAAAAAGCTCATGGATTCTCCCATCTTCGTGTTGGCCGTCGGTGATGGAGTTCAAATGCAACTCCAAGATTATTTGAAGTCGAGTCGATCACTATTGTCCACTCGATTCCATCCGAGAGCCAGGAATTTCAGCAGTCCAAACCTGTAGCAGAGAATATACAAAGGCGTTGTTGGTGAATAATCGGCGGAGAAGACGACGACGGCTGGGTTAACCACGACACTTTCAGGTATGGACCGCCTTCATTTTTTTTATAAGCATCAGGTTTAGGGCTTTACAAAAATAGAAGGTTTGAGGTTGGGATTTATCTTGTAATTAACTTGCGCCTTTTTTGTCTAATTCATCAAGAAGGTTCAATTGGTTGGTGAACTTGATTTATGCTCCCTTGAAGAAATTCTAACGATTTATACTTCAGGGATCAGGACATACAGTTGGCTTTCAGCTACAACAAGCAAAGTTAAACCTACAGGATTTATAGGTTTGAAAGATCCACGTAAAGAACTAAAGATATCCCCAGTTATGAAAAGATTAGAAAACTTTGATGGTTTGCCTTCATATGATAAGAGTCTCTCTTTTCTACCTTGTGGTATCTTTTGCCTTTTTGTGTAAGGTTGATGGTACTTGTTTTTTTTTAATTTATTTTTGTTGGGTCTATGGTCCCTACACTTTCCACTCATCATTCTTTTTGTTTCTTATTCGTAAAAAAAAAAAAAAATCTTTTTGTTTCTTTAGTCATTTATGAAATGGAATATGAGTGTTCACAATTTTTGTCCTATTGATAGTAGGGGTGGGCAAACGGTTCGGTAAATCGAAACCAAATTAAATCGAACCAAAACCGAATTAATGCTATTCGGTTCGGAATTCGGAAAGAAAATATGGATAGTTCGGAAACCAGGGTTCTTTCAACTGAACCGAATATCCGAATTTTCGACCGAAAAACCGAAATACTATAATTGCAAGCTCCAAATGGTGGATTTTATGTTTGTAGTTGTTTTTAGACTTAAATATTTGAAATGTTTTATGACTTATGTGTTGAAAAGTTTGATTTTATCATTGATGATGCATATAATTGATATTTATTGTTTATATTAGGGGTGAAAAATAATTTAAAAGTGAGAAAATACAAGTAGCTTCACAAATTTGGTTTTGGGTGAAAAACCGAACCGAATTATAATTCGGTTCGAATTCGGTTTGAGGTTTGGGAGAATTCGGGGACTCGGTATTCATAATTTCGGTTCGGTCGAAACCGAACCGACCGAATGCCCACCCCTAATTGACAGGTGGTATAATGCTCAACCAAGTGCCAACATGAGTTATCATAGGCCACTCCCTGTTGAGAATTACGAGGGTGAGCAAAGACACCCTTATATCAAAGTTTCAAGGCCGGAAAGTGAAAGAGAGATTGAGTCTGATGTTGATAGTGGGTTCATAGATGAAGAAATGCAATTAGCGAATATGAGTTTAATGTGGATGATGCAGAAAGTGAAGGGTTCAACCACAATTTTCCTATTAATGATGAAGTTGTTGCATATGTTGACAGTGATTGCGGTGATTCAGACTATTTAGGTAGTGTCCATTCAAGTGATGATAAGGGAAATTGGAGAAGAAGAGTTGAAGAATTTAATCCAACGAGGGATATGAAAGATCTAGGGGTGGACAACGGGACGGGATTGGATACCCGTCCCGTTTTAAACGGATACCCAATCCCATTAGGAGAGCAAACTCCATCCCATGTCCCAAACCCGTACGAATTAACGGGTACCCATTACCCGTACGGGACGGATAACGGGTACCCGCGGGTACCCATAAATTTGGGTGGTTTTTTGTTATTTGGGATTCCCCTCCCCTCCCCTTCAGTTCATAATCATGAGTGCTCGTCTTTCCCACAATTGGACATTTTATACCACACAATTTCTGCATAGATGGCGCGAATTGTTAACGGGCAGGAGACATTCAGTTTTCAATTAATTAAGAAGACCTCGCAGCTGGTGAGGGATATTGGGAGTCTGTAGATATTTGTCATGCAATTCCAATTCCTATTTGTGTTCTCTTTTAATTTTTCTACCCTTGCGTTGCAAGGTTTCTAGTAAGCTGATCAATGGCTAATTACTTTCCTTATTTATCTTCCCTTAACTTTACATATGCACAGAAGCTCAAGTGCTATCAAAGAAATCAAGCTTTTTCAAAGATCTGTAGTTATCAATTTTTTTAGTAAACGTCTATGCGCTTCATTTGATGATCAATCATTGATTATGAGCTATGTATTGACTATTGTAGTATTGTATTTGTATAGTGAATAAGTCGTAATGGGTATTACGGGTACCCATACTACCCAAACGGGTATTAGCGGGTAACCCGCGGGTACCCAATGTAGAAATTCTTAATCCCAAGTCCCATCCCGTAATAAATTTTACGGGTATTTGGGTACCCATAACCCTCAAAAAACGGGACGGGTATGGGTATACCCAAATACCCGTTTCCCGTTTTCCACCCCTAGGAAGATTCTCATTTTAGTGACGGGCAAATTTTTAGGGACTTCAAAACATTCAAAGAGGCTATTAGGGCTTACTCAATCAAAAACAAGTTTCCATTGAGGTTTGTCCATAGCGATACTCAACGAGTTCAAGTTTTCTGTGATAAGAATTGCAAATGGAATATTTGGGCATCAATTACTCAAGATAAAAAGGCAGTTCAAATTAAGTCTGTGGAGCTGCAACATGACGAATGTGTTCTTTTGTCTAGACACAAGTGGTTTGATTACAAGTTCATTGCAAAAAAGTACTTACAAAGGTTTGAAGTTGATCCTAAATGGGGTACTGATGCAATAATGCAAACAGTGGAAGAAGACTTCCACTATATCATAACAAGATGGACAGCAGCAAGGGCAAGGGGCTGCAACATGACGAATGTGTTCTTCTGCATGTTCTACTCATGATACAACCTGAAAATAAAAGTTGATTTTGTTATTAATCATAAAGATAAAACCACGAGACAAAGAGAAAAAATGAATGAATTACATATGTGAAGAGATTAACCTTGGACGAAGACCAAAAACCCATTCAAATTCAAAGTTTGGTATAGGAAGAGGAGTCAAGGAGGACGATACAACTGATCAAACATCGTCTTCAGCAATAGAAGCATCAAAATAGTTCTTGTAGTAATTCATAAATATAGGAGAGATAGAACCATTGGGCGAAATACTACAACACCTTTCATTTTAATTAGCTATATACCCAAACCAAGAATAAAATAATAAAGTTTAATATCTCATTCGAATGATTTGTGACGGATTTTATGCATAAAGTTACCTAAATTCGCTTTGTATTATAAATTTTATTTATAGAAGGAAAAAGTACTAATACCCCCGTCATTGCAATATCCAAGTTTTCTCCAATTTGCACCCTAGTAACCACCCCCATAATATTACTGTTTCTCGTAATCTTCCAATTTTTTCTAGTCATTGATTGTCAACCTTCATTCCTTTCCTTCAAAAAGCATATATTCTCCAAAATTTTAAGATTCTAGAATAGAAAATTCTCGTACAGTTCAAACAATATGTAGAGTAGTGATCGCCTGAATAATCTGATCGAATTTTTCTCTTCCAATCTAGTCATGACTTCTTAAGACAGTTGAGATCACAATGCCTACAAAGAGCCAATATTTTACAAAGTCGTAGTCGTTCGCTGGTGATTAGCATATCATCCGCATACTGATTTGAACCATGCAGAGAGTGTGTGCTTCGTCAAACGCACCAACCATATGTACGTCATTTTCTCGTTAAACAATTGCTCATTTTCTTTCCTTGCATTTGTTAATTCGCAAATTTTCATGCATGGTAAACCATTCAACTAATAATAATCGTGAATGTTTTAAGTATTCTTCCAAATAAGGTTTTTTGTTTCAAATCAATAGTGCCAATTTCACTATCATTTTGTAGATTTAAAATATACAATAAATTTGTTTAGTGTAATTAGTTATGATCAAAGTTGTTATCCCGATTTAACCCATTGACTCATTCAACGAAGTGGTTAAAGTTTAATGTGAGAATTGAATTAAACTTGGTTTAACCCAACTTTACCGGGGAAAAAGAAAAATATTTATAGGTTCCACATGTATTGTGCTTAGATATATAGGATTTTTAATGATAAATTTAGATCCAATGATGGTTTAATATTATTCATTCATTAGAATTGAATTGCATTTATTGATATTTTTTTTTACTTCTTTCTCTCTTTTAGAAATAAGAATGAAGTTTCAATTATGAAATCTTTCCCTCTTTCTTTTTCTTTTCCCCTTTTCTTTTACGGTGCTGAGTTAACGTGCTGACTGAACTAACGGATCGTCTAATGTGGAAATTTATGTTCTGAACCTATTTTTCACGTGGATTTAAATTAAAAAAATAAAAGAATAATAAATATATAAAGTGGAAAATAGTAATAAAAATAATTAATTTTTATTTATTTTCTCTCACCATCTCTCTTCCTTCCCCTTCACTTCCCCAACGAAATCTCACTTTCCCATCGGTTAAAAAGAAAATCTCACTTCCCCAAATCATCTCCTTCCTCCCCCCTTCCCGTCCCCAAACTCTTTTTGTACAGTAGATCTGAGAACTCCCCCTTCTCTTCCCAAAGCTCTCGAACTCATTTTTCTTTGTTGATGCTTGAATGACTCTTCCTTTTCTTCTCCAATCTCACAGATCTCAGACTCGTTTTTCTTTTCCGAAGAGTTCTCTTTTCTTCCTCTATTTTGCGGGTCCGTCCATCGGCTTCCACGTTGGGGAGACGGGATGGCTGGGCGACGAGCTGGAGTGGATCGGTGACTGGTGGTGGCAACGATGACTAATCACCATTTGAGATTCTCAGAACTTGAGTGGATAGGTGTCTTCTTTCTATTTTCGTTTTTAGTTGGCGGATGAGGAGCTCTCCTCTCCCCTGAGTATCTAGATCTAGAACTTCTTGGTTATTCCCAGAACCAGACCTTTTCCTTTGCTTTTCGGATTTGCCTCTGCTATTTTTGATCAGGATCTTTTCCGTGGTTCGTCGTTGTCGTGAGGCATGCTTTGATCATTGATGTTGTGGAAGAGGGCGTGAACTTGGGCGAGGAATTGGAGGGAAGAAGTGTGGAGGTTTTGAAATTGAAGAGGTCTTCTGGGTCGGATGGAGATGATGGTGGGATCGCAACGGCATCGAGAGATGGTCGTAGTGATGGTGGTGATAAGGCAAGGGAGTATGTGGTAGCAGGCTGGCAGTTCTGGTTTGAGAAAATTCAAATTGAAGAACACGACCTATCGAACGGGACCGCGGAGGCTCTGCGGGCGGCGACAAAGAGAAGAGAGGGACGTGAGATAATTTTTTTTATTGTTTTTTTTATTAAATTTTTTTAGTTTTCATAAATAAAAAATTTAGTTCATAGAGTAAAAAGACTATTTGATTTTTTTTCATTTATCCACCTGCAATTGTTAAAAGATAAATCAAAATGATGTGATAATGATATTGATGACTTGACGCTGACATGTGTGATGATTTTGCATCCTAGTCAGCATAATGTTAACTTAACTGACGGAGTTTCTAACACCGTCAAAGTTTGTAACGGAAATAGCTATATTTGTCACGAAACTTTCAAAATTCCCTCCATTCTTATTTTGCTGGCCTGTGCGCAGACTTAAGGAGGAGCTGCTGGTCTTTTTGTTTTTTTATTTTTTATCCAAAAACAAGTTTCTTTGTTTTTCGTGTATATATATTTGTGGGTCTTAATTTATTTTGGGACTGAATGATCTTGGTTTTTATTTTATTAAGGGTAAGAGTTTCATTCTTTGTGGCTTGATGATTTTGATTTAGGGTAAATCCAAATATGATGATTTAGGGTAAATCCAAATATGAAAAAAGGATGGCAAGTACAAGTCAACATCATTAAAACAATGAAAAACGTCCTTAACCCAAAATTAACAAAGGAAAAAACCAAATAGGTGAGCTTGAATAGGAATGGCAATGAGGTAGTTCGAGCACGTAATTGATATCCATACTCGCCCTGTGACATGTTAGGTATTTATTCTAAAGCGCAGATAAGGACAGGTCGATCCATATGAGTATGTATTGTAACGGAAAACACTTGATAAATTAATTTTTGCATTAAAAAATTGACAAATAAACTATAACATGATAAGTAGAATTAAATTATTTGACAATTTGAGATTATAGCTAAAGTATAATAAAATTAAAATATTATTTAATTTCTGTAAATTACATATAATTTACACAACTACGGTTCGAGAATGCGGCAAATCAGGGTGGGTCGGGTCGAGAACAATATTCATGTATGCCCCGCCCCCGCCCAAAACAAGACAAACAGTTCGGATAGAAACGAGTCAGGTCAAAATTGTCATTCCTAAACTTGAAATGACGTGACATAGAGAAGCATGAGTAGCTTACCTGGTAGCTGGATGGACGAGGAAGCCAAAAAGACTATAGTTTTATGAACTCAATTAAACTAAATAATACCAAAGTCGAACCCTATTCTTTACTCCTAACAAGTCTAGCTCTTCATGGTGAAGCTTTCTTTGCAAGAAAAGTCATTGAATTTAATTAATTTGCATCGATTAATAAAATTGGCATGAATTCACTGTTATCTAGCATTTAGCAATAAGTTTTACACTAATTGACTATGCAATAGAATCACAACAACACATGGTTATGATGGGTTATACATCAAAGAATGACATATCTCTAAGGTTGGGCAAATTAATTTTTATATTATTTTGAATTATCTTTTGCTTTTTGGAACACATATGTAATGGAGTATTCTCATCAGTTTCTATTAAAGGTAAAATTAACCAATTTGTAAATTATGTATGTGGAGTATATGTTTATCCTATTGAAGATCGAGTATAAAATTACTTGATAACCTGGTAGCTATTAAAGGACCATACTAAAATTTTCTCAACTCCACATCCATGATGCTAACAATGAAGTCCAAAAACGATAAGATTTTTTTATTTAGAAATCGTTTTGGAATCCTTTACACAATTTCAGCAATTGTAAAATATGTTAGAGTTGACTCATGTATTAGTACAAATATTTTGACATATAATGGATAAATTGAATTGCACCATGATTGTTAGTGCGTAAGCTTTGGTTGAGGTTGAGCATTAAGATTGAACTAAAAGCAATCGAACAAAGCAACACAACATTACTACAATGTGTTTTGAATTATTACTTGAGAGGTGATTCAAAGCAACTTGAGTGGAAAACATGTCGTTTTGACTTCATCACATACATTATAGTTCTCGATGCAAGTGTGAAAGCTTCGAGCATGATTTGATGATTTATGGATGGACAATATATCTTGATTTTTTTGTTACATTTTCATATAAATCTGATTGGCCCGATATTCAATACAATATAGTTGATTTGATAAGGACTACTTCTTGAAATGATTCTAATAGAGTTGATGTAATCGCAAGAGTTTTTAAGTTGAAGCTAAGTCGGTTGTTGACTTAGATTTTTTTAGAGGACATGCTCATGTAAGTTATATTGTAGTTGTTGACTTATTTTTCAGTTTCGATGGCTATTGATAATTTCTTTCACTCCAAAAGTGTTGGCAAATGAATTGTAAAAAAGTGGTATGCCTCATACTCATTTATTAGTATTCCTAGATGTGGAAGATAAATTCTATGATCCTTGAGAAATAGATTCAATTATATTTGCTGAAATTTTATATAAAGCAGATCTTGAATTTGATGAAGCAGTTACAAATTTTATGTTTCTTGGGTATTTGGCATTCGATAACGTAAAGCTTTATATGTTCTAAATATTTTCCTAGGGAGATCAGCGAGTAAACATCTATTGATCATTTATTGTTGACAATTTTGCAAGGTATCAGCATCGAGAAAACAACTAATCATTCATGGTGCGTCTCACTTGATAACTGATTCATTGTTCCTTATAAAAGATACATATTGAAAGAATACAAATTGCGGAAAATATTCATTGATTGTGTGATGTAAATTATACTTTAACGAAAATTATATTTTATATTTGAAAATATTTTACAATTAATATTTTTAGTTCGATCAAATGCAAGTGAAGAGATCATTGGACTACAATAGAATAAGGAAGAGATCATTGGTAATTGGTATAGAGGTGTCCCTAATGGAGATGAAGGCGTTGTTATTGTTGGAAATGATGATCTGCTCATGGTAGAGGAAACCGAACAAAGCCAAAAAAATATATTGTAATTTCTATCAAAGAGGAGCAAATAGAAGTGTCGTTTGAACAAATTTTTAGGAGTTGACTCATTGATTTGAGGTTTGTATTTTAATCTAAGGATTTTAGGTGATGACCAATACTATGATGGTAATCCTTTTGAATGTTACCAAGTACTAGATAATTTGGATTCTCTTCTTCTACCGAATAAAACTGTAACTTGCTTGACTTTTGCTATTTATTATTTTGCGATATGCAAAATGAAACTGACCAACTGGTCATGTTTATTTTACTTCGAACAAATTACTATTGTTGTTTATACCATCTACGAAATGCATCCGGCCAACCGGCCGGGTTGAAATTTTGTTCGTCAAGAATATCATTTCCGACGATAGCAATTGCCAACTAATAACTTAAATTATCTTAGTCTATTGACTTGCTTAAAGAACCTCTTGTCAACACTAATAATCATAGTATTAGATCAAGTACGTAATTAACTCAAACTAAATCATTTTATCAACTACTAAGTTATTAACATCGTAATCCGTACATACCTATTAAATCAATTACATATTAATTCAATTGACAAAACATGATTAGACTTATTATTATTAACCTAGAAAACTAAATGATAGCAACTACATAAACTTTAGTGACAGTCATCAAACTAGTCACTAAAGATAGAAACTGCCCGTCGCCATAAGGGCTGTCCCTGCTGTTGACTGGCCAGACTTTAGCAACGATAAAGGATTGATTGCTAAAAGACTGCATTCCGTCGCTGATTTCCCAGAAAGCTAGGACTCGTATAACTCATATCGATGTCGATTTAAACTCGAGGGATCAGATTTGCTTACCTTTCAAACATGCCTGATCTTGTAGAAGTGTCTCTATAACCAGATCCATTCATTAGATAATTGTAGAACGTCTCGAACCTAAGTCGTGGGAGTGCGGTTCATGGAAATGAGATGGGTTAGCTAACCGTTTGAATCTATAGCTTGTAAATGGATTTTGGGTTCATCGTTCCTTTGTTAAGCATATGTACTATAGGCTGTTGATTTATGTGAGTTGTAGTGAGTTGAATGAGTGTGGGGCCCATTTAATAAGCCCACACGTAATCCATGCTGGCCCATGCACGGTTAGGACGTGGAGTGAGGCTCCTAACCTAGGGCACGATTGAGATAAAAGGAGAGTGGGGGAGTTTGACGGCTGTACAATCTGTTCATTCATTATTCTCAGTAAAATCAGTAGCCTGAAGAGCTTTCAAAGTTCTTCCGTGGATTAGTCCTGGATCACATCCAGGGATACCACGTAAACTCCGGTTTCTGTGTTTGATTTTATTTCCGAACTGTTTTCGATCTGTTCTTGTTTCTCAACATGGTATCAGAGCTCACCGCAGCTGATTCTGAGAGGCTAACAGTGTGCCTCACATCGACGAACTACGCACTATGGGAATTTCAATTTCGGGTTTTTGTTGAAGGGAAAGGGTTGATTGGAATCTTGGATGGCACCGAAGAGAAACCTGCCGATACAGCTTCAGCGCAAGAGAAAGCCTCCTGGATCCAGAATGACGCGCGCATCGTTCATGGTTATTAAGGTCAGTCGATCCTTCCACCTGCCTCAGCCTTCGTCTGTTTCCAACCGCGAATCGGATGTGGAGGCATCTTGCAGGATTATATTCGACCTCCAGTGCAGCCTGGCAGTTTGAGGTAGAAACAGCTCTAGCTCGTTTAACTCAAGGTGACAAATCGGTCACTAAATACTTCAACACTGCCCAAGAATTATGGACCGAGCAGGACATGATTCATTTGACCTTGAGACCTCAATCCATGACGGCTGATATGGTAGCTGAAAGACAACAATCTTGGGTCATGCAGTTTCTAATGCGCTTGCGACCAGAATTTGAAAATATCCGAGCTAGTTTATTGAATAGGGAGCAGCTCAATTTTGATGGTGTGGTCAGTAGCTTGGTGCGAGAGGAAACTCGATTACGCACTCAAGCTCAGTTAGATACTCGTCCAGGAGAAGGTGAGACTTTCTTGGTGGCTCCTGCTGGTCGTTATGGAAATGGAAGTGGAAAAGGGGCATTTGCAGTCACTCGGCCTCAATTTCATGGTCGCGTTCCCAACGCGGAACTTGAATGTCACCATTGTCATGAAAAGGGGCATTTGGTGAAGCATTGTTGGAGGAGGAATTATTGCGTATATTGTAAAAGGATGGGTCATATTATTTTGGAATGTAGAACTCGAGAACGTAATGTCGAACGTAATGTGGGAAGCTTTGCTGGAAA